GCTAAGCACGTGTTTCATGGAAACATGTTGGGCAAAAGGCACATTCAACAATTCCAAATTGGTGCGCTCTGTAGCATTTCAGTGATTTATTTATAGGACTTGTGCTGAATTCCTGCAGAAGGGGGCAAGTTTTACTTGCTGTGTGTAACAATTCATGTGTGTTCTATGTGTATGTAATTTATATAACCTTAAGGCAAGCAGTTGCCTGTTTACAATATTGTATGAACGTGCAGGGCATGTCGATGCCGCATTCAGAAGTGCGATTACATCTTTCCCAAGCTCAGTATAATCTATGCAGCCACAGAACCCCAGCAACAGCAACTGGAAAGCTGTAGTAGGACAGATTTTGGAGCAGGTCCTGAGGGCCCAACTGGGGCTCCAGTAAGCCCTTGCTACATGACACATGGCTTCAACGCCCGTCAGCACCTTGATTCGTTGGATCTGTGTTTCTGAGCTTGGCAGTTGTCATTTCCAATGAGAGCCAAGTTCAAGGCAGACCAGTGGACAGTGGGAAAATGGAAAGAGGAGATTTCCTAGCTGACCAGCTGGGCCATAATGACTGGTTCAGACACCATCACAGAGGAAGCAGATCCAGTCACAAAAAAAGGGGATAGGGAAGGGGAATGTGTGGGAAACAAAGACAATTTTAGAAACAAATAGAGGAAGCTTTCTGTAGGTCAATGTGTAAGACTTGCTAAATAAAGCAAACTATTCCTGGCAGTGACATGATGGTCTGAGGGGTTTAGGCAATCTCAGCCGGTGTGTGGGAAAGACGATTGCGGTGGTCACATCAGAGCTGTGGCTGCCAATCTTGGAGGTCCTCCTCCCACCCCAAACTGCGCCTGTGCAAGCAACTGGGACTGTCAGCCCATCAAAGCTCACAAGAACACCACAAAACAACATCCATCTGAATGCTTCCTCAGAGCAAAGCCTAATGTGTATTTCTTGCTGGCTTTGTTTCATTAATGAATTGTAGCCTATTCAACATAACAAAAACTGAGCATAAGGCAATTAAAAGAGGAATCTCCAGTTACCTGAATCCAAATCTCCACAGCTGTTATCTCCAACTACCAATAGGGATTCCAGGAGGGATGTTTTCTCCCTGGATGCCACAAAAATAAACAGGTTAACTGGGCAAAAAGCTTTTGGGGGACATCTCGTAGAGGAGTTCTGCTTGCCTTCTTGCTCGCGGGGAACAGGGGACTTGGTTTTTACAAGTCTAGTTATTTATATAGTGGTTGGTCTACGCATTCTGCTCTTCGTAATACACAAAGGAAGAGGGAAGCGTGTGCATGGAAGATTTTCCATCCTTGTTTTTCCATCCTGTTGAACCTACATTTCTTTGTTAGATTGTTAACTTACAGCATAAGAGCAAAAGTTTCATGATTGAAATACGGGTAAAAAGCTTTCTGATGAAGGCAGTGTTCATCCTGAAGCTGTGTCACCCTCGCTCCATTGGACTCAGTTTGATGAACATTTCTTTTAACCATGAGGCCAGGTTCAATTAGTTTCTCCTCTTGATCATTTCCAGTTCTTCAGCTGCTGTAAGTGTTTGTAGAACCATTTAGTGAACTGCCCCAGGGAACTGATTTGGATGAAAAATAAGCAAAACAAGCCCCTCTTCCCTGACCTCCACCACCACAAAAGATTCTTTATTCCATCTCATTTTCCTGATCTGAATTCCTGCTCTGTTGTACTGGCACAACTGAAAAGACAATATGGGATGGGAGTAAGTGAGGAGGGAGCACCAGAGGTGGGAAGGATACCGGGTGGCTGTTTATACCACACCAACACAAAAAGAAGCTCTCATCCCGCTACACACAGAGAGGGATTTTAATGTATCTTGTCGACCATCTCCAGAGAGTCAAAAGATATTTCACCGTAAGGCACTGATGTTGCATAAACCCTTACTTAAGTCCTCCTGTCCTGTCTGTACGTAGATATTACCAATGTAATGCTTGAGTTATTACAGTGCCTAGACCTACGTCCCACTCAAAAAGGACAGCACTATGCTAGCAGGGGAGGGAAGGGATCTTGCACATGGTGGGTAGAGAACCTCATTTGGTTTGCTACAGAGCTAAACACATAACTGGATTCCTAGTGATGAAAATGACTGTGGTTTGGGGAGTTGTGGCCTTTTTGCCTTTTCTAACTGGCTTTTTGGAACAATGATTTAAGTATGGAAGCTCAGGGCTGTCTTCTTGCTGGCTTCTCGTATTCCTCTGTTACCAAATGTGTCAGCCTTTTATTTAGCTGCTCTGTAGATCATAAACAGTTTACGCTAATGAAGTTGCAGGCCAAACCTCTAGAGCTCTGATAAAAATCTGTAGTGTTCTAATATTCAGGATAAGCCACAGCAGTAACCAGGAGCGTGTTGTGTACAGAAGAATCCTTTGAGCAGGTTTGAGACAAATAAGCAACAAAGTAAAGTTTGTGACAGGTTATTTTTCCCTTGAATGTCAAGTGAATAAACCTTTTTCTTTTTGTGTGTTTTGTTACAACAGATTTGCATTTTTATCGGAGAAACTCTTCTGTTTTCAAACTGGGCTATCACAGCAGACATACTAATGGTGAGTGTACTTTGGAACAGCATCTTTCTCTTCTGGTGGCCAGAGCAGTTTGTCAGCTTGCAAGCATAACCTGAAATTCACAATTTATTCCAAAGGCCTAGCCTCTACTTCAGCCTTTTCTTTTTTTTCTTTTTTTCTTTTTTTCTTTTTTTCTTTTTTTCTTTTTTCTTTTTTCTTTTTTCTTTTTTCTTTTTTCTTTTTTCTTTTTTCTTTTTTCTTTTTTCTTTTTTCTTTTTTCTTTTTTCTTTTTTCTTTTTTCTTTTTTCTTTTTTCTTTTTTCTTTTTTCTTTTTTCTTTTTTCTTTTTTCTTTTTTCTTTTTTCTTTTTTCTTTTTTCTTTTTTCTTTTTTCTTTTTTCTTTTTTCTTTTTTCTTTTTTCTTTTTTCTTTTTTCTTTTTTTCTTTTTTCCTTTTTTCCTTTTTTCCTTTTTTGTACTTGATGAAAAGGAAAGTAAGAGAAAGAAAAAAATATTATTCTTGTCCTTTGTTCCAAGGACCAGGGAGTGGAAATGTCCGGAAAGAACACCATTACTGAATTCAGATAGTTTCCCCAAATTTTAAGTATTTGCACAACCCCCCACCACCCCATGCAAAGAAATCAGCCAGCATTTCCTAATAGTCAGCACGTTACTGGATTTTGTTATCAATAACTCCGCTTTGTTCTGCAATAGGAAATCCTTCCCTCCCTCCCTCCTCTGCCCACAAAGGCAACCATCTACCTCTCTCTTTGGCTTAACTCCAGCAAACTTACCATTCAACACATACACAATAGAAAACCACCTCTGGGAGAGGAGAGAGGAAAAGAAAGTCTAAAGAATTTTTGGACTATGTCCACCTTGTCCAGGAGGAAACTGTCAGGGACTTTTCACCTCATGTCCTTCATTTTCCATTCTTTCTCCACCACAGAGCTTTTTAAGTCGTTAAAATCAGCAAGCTGACCTCAGCAGCTAAATTCTCATATGAAATAGTCTGGACGTTTGTTAGAGAGCCTTGCATGTTTTGTAGATGCTTCCACCCAAGATGTACAGAGCCTATCAAACATGCCGTATGTTGAAATCCCATTGTGAAGGAGGTTACTTGTTGCTTATTGTATGAAAAAGAAAGAAACTAGGGCACAGAACCATTACAGGACTTGCCCGAGGTCATTGGCAGGTTGTTGACAGAACTAAAAATATAATCCGTCTGGCATCGATAGAAAACCCCCTTGACTTGTATTTGTTGCTTATGCAAACATCAACAAGAAAACTGGCTCAGTATTCCTAGATGTAAAGATAATGGTGTTGATACATTGATTCAGCAGAGAACTTCAAGCTTCTGCTTAAGTTCTGTTTATGATTTAAGTTCAAGGTTGTGTTTATATTTTAAGGTAGCTCTGTAGTTGCCATAACTGTGTTGCCTGATGAACTTTCATTCTTTAACTCATTTGTGCAGAGAACGCTTTGGGAGGTGCAGTGGTTAACTCCACTTCTCTCAGATGTGAATAAAGCATGGAGAAACAAAGGTTAGCGGCATACCTCAGTAGTGTTAGATAGCTTTTAATTACTGAGGTTCGTTCCTCCTACCAGTTTGGCTTTAGTGTGATACAGTTCTGTGTGGACTGAACGGGTGTTTCATGGGTGTTTACTCTGGGCTTACATGGGTTTTGCAGCTTGTGCTGAATTCAAGGCTGCTGTGGCCATTCATTAAGTGGTATCTCAACACTTAAACAGATGTGCAGTCTACAGACAGCTGTGTGGAGGGAGAAATTACAGTACAATATTTGTAGTTGGTCATTGCTGCCTCCTGCCAGAGCTTCCTCTTGCATTCTGCCTTTGGCTGTGATGTTCCCAGGAGTGCTCCCAGCTCGCTCTGGTCAGCATTAGTTGATGGGGTTAAATAGCAGAGCTGTTCTATCCTCACCAGCATTGGCTGAAACAGGTAAGGGCTTGGCTGTGGAGCACATCTGTAGTCCTCCAGCAGTGACTCCCAAAGAGCAAGCCGAGCTGGTCATCTCTGCTGCCTACGTAGTGCAGTGGGAGAGAGGGGACCTGTCGGACATGTTCAAGGTCCTCCAGAAAATCTGCACCAGAGAGCGAGCTGGAACTTGACCTCACTTCTCTCAAGCTAACCCCACAAGACATTTTTCAACCAACAACTTTGTTATATGTGTACTAAGGATGCCATCGTTGTCCCATTTTAATTACTGAAATTTTTTGCTTTGATTTCAATGTGACTTCAGTACCCTGTAGCTTTTTAATAGCTTTTATAGGGTTTGCCAGCATCCTATAGTCAGTTGCATTTTGTAGGGATGCATTTGCAGTTATTTATGGTGCTTTAGTGTGAAAGAACTCCATAAGAAATTATTGAAAATGCTTGGAAATAATTTCTTAGTTCCAATTTCCAAAACAGGGGAAAGAAACTAAAACCATGTTAAAAATTGGTTTTGGTAATTCACGCCAACTCTTAAGCTACCTGTTCTGTCTGTTGAGAAAAAATGAACCAAGTGTCATGTATAACGCCCAGCTTAATGCATTATCAGCATGAGTAGACCTGTAAAAATGCCATACAGATAAATGTAAACATCCACTTGGAGCAATGCAAGCCTGCAAGCAGATGGTCTAAAGTGTGTTCGTATTACACAGGGGGGATGAGAGGATGTTTAGTCAGACAATAGGTGAGAGCCAGGGCTGTAACCGTGTTTGACAGACAGCCTCGTAAGAATTCCTAGCCAGAGAAAGGTGTGGATATGCTTTAGCGAGATGCACTTTAAATGTTTGGCAAATTAATTTCTACTGATTACTATTTATTTGCTGTAATCAGAAGTGTGTCTGTTCTTGCCTGAGGCTGGTGAGGAGTTTAAAAGCATTATTACCGTAAGCTTAACAACACTTTCATCATCTACATAAATATTATCCTGTTTTCTTGGATAAAAAGCTCACAATACTGGCTGAACACTGTTCCCACTGATTTCATTATGCCAGAAGTGAGGCTTTTTGGAAACTGCATCCCAAATGATTTATCATAGCTCTCCCAAGTTTTACAGATCTCACCACTGTTTAAGAACCCTATTGGGCAAGTTGGTAAGCATCTTCAGAGGTTTTGCAAGTTTGATTTCTTTGGCAAAACAAGGATGTTTGCTTATTTTCTTCAAATTCAGTTGTTGGCTCTTCATAGCGTCATGCTTCCATCGCATCTACTGTTCTCGCCAGCGTAACGGTCGGTATGCAGCTCCTCAAATTATCTGCAGTAAAAGGTGCTGAGTGCTAGGTTTGATCAACTGTCAGCGCTGCAGAATGTACTTCACTGCCGGAGATTTTAAAAGGCTGATATTTGTTCCAAATGCAAATTTGTACAAAACAGGCCCTATTCTCCTGAGCACAACTCCCCAGATCTCCTCCCAGGCACATGCTCAGATGGTGCTTAGGGAAGGGAGGGATGTTTCTTATGGAGCATGCTAATTATGAAACAGATTTTATCATCCATCTTTGCAAATTGGCCTCAAAATTACCAGAACCCCAAAGTAGCATTAAAACTGCCTTGTAACAGCAATAATGAATGAGCTTCAGTGCAGCAGGCAAGCGTGTAACATTCTGAGACATGCTTGGGACTTTGTGGAATCTGGTCCTCATAGTGGGGCTTTTCCTCCATAGCACATCTCAGAAATAAAGATAATGGACAGAGGCTTGGTGGCATTTCTGTGTAAGAGCCAGTACGCAATTTAAAGGGTCTCAGCTATTGCGATCACAATCTCTTTAGTTCTTTGCTGAGAAAAGCCATCCTCCAGTTTATGCAAAGTCCTGACACTCATGCAAAAAAATGCTTTGCATATTTCTTTTTTCTTTTAAAACATTAGTTCTTTTTAAATGGGCATGAGCTGCCTTGGAGGAGCTGCTTTAATGTTTTTCTGTAGAGTCGAAGTCTTCCTTTAGACTTGAAACAGGCATAGACTGGTGCTGAGCTGTGCTATGCGCATGGAGGAATGTTGCTTTTGTTCTGATTACCTTCCCTATAAATAACCCCCGATTATTTATGTGTTATAAAATACTGCCCTGTTTTCACAGCCGAAGATAAATAGCATTTCCAGAAGTTCTCATCGTTGCTTCTCTCAGTGTGCCTCCAGACATCAGTAATCCAATGCTGTGGTTTAGCTTTTAAGGCAGGGTGAGGAGTGAAGGTACAGAGCCCACTTCAAACACCTGAGCCTGGCTCTGGCCCGAAGGACATGCCAAGGGGCATCTCTGCAGCTCTTCTGTGGGCCGAGGGTTGCAGATGGATGTGTACTGCTCTGTGTTGTGCTGCGGTTTGGAGACCAGGTCCTTTTACTTCTTTTCAAAGTTTTTTTATAGACAGTGTCTGCCTAGCTTGAGCAAAGGGTCTCCCTCAGGCTAGTTTCTCTGGATCACAGCCTTTGCCTGTTCTTTGCCTCTCCCTGTAGGGATGCCTGGGCTATTTCCAGGCTCTGGCCATGGCTAGAGTGGGGTTAGCGTGTGTTTTCTTGCCTTTGGTGCTGAAAGAGGCCAGTGTGCATTACCCTGAAGATTACCGTCTGACCCAGAAAGGGTATCAAAGTGTTTTAGAGAGTAGAGTTTTCTATCAAAGATGAGACATAAACATCAGAACTCCCCTCTGGCACGTGGCCTTTTCCTGGGAGAAGGGTGATCTCGCCTTGGCTTTCCTGCTTCACTTATTCCAGACCAACTCATTCTGCTGGTTTTGCTACAGGAAGACTATGTCAGCAGTAAACCATAGCCTTTCTCAACCTCTATTTAAAGAAAAGAGGTTTGCCAAAGCTGCTGGGTCAGCCTCCCTGCCCATCCTCTGTGCTGCCTGCCTCCAAACCTGGACTCAGAGATGAGCCAGGATGATCCCACGGATTTCCGCCTTAGCTGCTGTGGCTCTCCCACCTCCAGTTTCTGTGGGATGTTCAGACCAGGCCATGTATGGTTTGAATTTAGGTCTATTTTAGTATCAAAATGCCCATTCAGAGCTGTAATTTACTGCTGTCTTCCTAGAACAGTAGATAATGTTTGCTACCAACTCTCCATCAGAATAAAATGCTTTTTAAGTAGGGGATAGGGTGGAGCATTTTTTGGTGTTTTGGAGATGCTGGTTTAAGCCTTGTTTTCTTTCCAATATCTTTTCAGAGGAGGAGGAAAAATCTCATGTTCATTTGCTTGCCACATGTAGGGTTTTTGTTTTGGGGGTGTGTGTACTTGTCGCTTGAATTCCAGACTAAATTTACTAAGTTTTGGCAATTCATAGTGCCAAACCATATCGATGGTTTCAACCATCACCAGCTTCTTTAGCTAGGCAAACTGAAAACCTGCTGGAAATTGTATTGCTATTTGCAAAACTATATGTGTGCGTAAAACAGATATGCATGCAAAATGATGTCTAATACATGTGTGAGTGTGTATTCATGTGTATAAATACATACACACACACACATATGATGCAGGTATCATTCAAATTCCTGTCTCCAATTGGTACCAATCCACTGCCCCTCCATGAAAATTGTAAGTTTTTAATAAATTTGCCATTTCCTTTGTGTAAGAAAATGGATAGCGTATAGAACCAGGCAAGCAGGCTTTCTCCTCCAGATTTGTTAACGTAAACTTTATAGAAAGAAAAATATTTTAACATAAGTTTAAAATTCCCTGTTTCACAGATCTACACAACTCTGGACTCTTGAATTAGGTAGAATTTTGCTTGATCTTCTCAGATGCCCTTTCTCAAACAGCTCTTGCAGAATGCTTCTCCATTGCACCTGGGTGAACTGGGCCGGGTGGGAAGAAGAACAATAACTCACTTTTTTGGTTGGTGGTTTGTTTTTTTTTCCTGTCTAATCTATTCAGGCTGCACCCATTACCCTGCATCTTTGGGGAATAGTAATGAATTGTGTGGCACTCCTGCTGTTTCACAGCGTGACTTTCAGCATGTTTCTGTGTCTCTAATAAAGTCTAGACCTTATTTTCCTCTTGGGATTTCTGTGAGCCTTCAAGTCTGTTCTGAGCTCCTGGATGCAATAGGAGGACGGTGTCTAACATCTGCAGCCAGGTGGCTGCGGCGGATCTGATCATCTTTTGCTCTTCTGTTGCACAACATGAGTTTTACAGGGTACCCATTTAATATGGAGCATCAAAGCGCATTAGCAGTGAGCGTTTGCAGCTTTATCAAACCAGTAATGAAAGAACTGGCAGGTCTTTCTGAAAGCACATGGTAAAACCCTAAGGAAAAGCATTTAATCTAATTTTACCCATCGTCCGTAATTGTCTCTGCTTGGAAGGAGATGATCGCTCTAAATAGGCATCAGTTCTCTTCTGGTGTGGATTTTCTCGACGCTGTTTCTTTTCTTTCCTTTTTTAATGGCTCTTTCCACTTCAGACAGGGCAGCTCACCTTCCCTAAGAGGAGGTGTTAAAGCACTTGAAACAGCGCTTCAGATCCTGTGCCCTGAGATCTGTCGCTGTTGAGCACAGAGTTCTCCCTGCCTCGGTCAGCTAAGGTAAATTGATCTCTCTCTATCTCCAGCAGGGAATATGTCAGTCCTGAAACGTCACAATTAATTAATAAATGACTTCAGGAAAGGGTTGCAAGAGTGAGTTGAAGTCTGGGCAGGCATGCCTTCTAAAGAAAGACTAAAGGCAACCCATCAGAGAGAAAGTGGACAAGTAAAAGGGACGGTGGTCTACAAATAGCTGAGCGAGAGAGTCGTTTCTGGCAGGGTAGATAGCTCTTCAGAGCAACAGAAAAAGGCAGAACAAGATTCAGTGCTCAGAAGTGGCAACAAAGCTCACTTGGATTTAGAGACCTATTGAATTCTTCATTACTTACAGCCTTTAAAGCAAGACAGGATCAATTTATAACCCGCGATATGTAGACTTGGTGCAGATGTTCTTAGCCAGCTTCTTTCACAAGTTTTATGCAGGAGACAATTACTCCTTCCTGCTCCTAAATGTGTGCTATAAAATTAAGGTCATTCCACAGGACAGGGGTTTGGTTTTTTTGGTTTGTTTTTTCTTTTTTTTTTTCTTTTCTTTTTTAATCTTTCATCACCTTCCATGATTAGGGCTCTGTTTTTTGTGAGCTCTGGTCCCTTAATGGCAAAGTAATTTGTGTTTTCCACTGATCCTGTGTAGTCAGACTGATTCTGCATGACCTGGCCAAGGGTGTCATGTCCTATTAGAGGAGTGGAGACCAAACTACAGTATCTTGGCTATGGAAGATCTTCCTAATGTGTCTTTGTCACTTTTCACAAGTGGAATCACAAATTTTTGAGAAAAATATAAAGTGTTTAGTGATGGAGTTGGAGGGGAAGATGTGTGACCTTTCATGCTGATGTGAATTGCTTACGGTTTAGGAAATGAAATTATATCTTTATTATGGAAAACCCACAATATCCCAGGTTTTACAGCAAAGTCCTCGTTTGGAAGGCTGGTGGTGCTGAGCAAGTTACGTGCTGCAGGCAACCTCAAACTTCGCTCTGCCCATCAGCCAAGCAGAATGAAATAAGCAGAGGAGCACTAGCAGTGTCTCGCAGTGAATGCTGTTAGTCAAACGCATGCCTTCAGCACTGCCGAGAGGAGTGCAGACCAGACAGAGCTTCCTTCCCTTGGCACCTGCCATCAGAGAACCAGAAAACCGGGAAGGGCAGCCAAGCTCCCCAGTTGCTTGAGCCGCCCGTGGACTGGGCAGTGGCTGTGCCTGCCACCAACATCTGGGGGAGCTTGTTCGCTTTGTCCTGACCTGGGTATAAACAGAACAATACAAGGCAGCTAGATGGGTTCTTACTTCAGTTTCTTTATGTATTTTTTTTTTCTTTCCCCTTCTTCTTTGCAGTACGTGGTCATTCCAACACGCCGTGCAACCGCAGTGGCCTTGCAGAGTTTCACTTCACACCTCCTGGGAGATGCTGGCAGTCCTTATCTGATTGGATTTGTAAGTGCTCACAGCAGGTTTTGGCAGGGTTTCCTGCCCATGTTTGTTTTTGTTTACTAACTGCTTATCTGGAATGCCAAGCTAAACCATGCTAGGGAAGAAGGGCCTGTATTTATCAGCAGAATGGGAAGCGGTGCAGTGCAATGCAACTTTTTTACATTCTTTTTTTTTTTTTCACAATTCAAACCTGGAAGGACCACTTAGGCACAAGAAGCAAGCTTCTAAATCTTTTTAGCCTAGGGCATTTGTAAAGCTTATAGACAGCTCTGTAAAGGGAGAATGGTTGCTTCTGTGGTGTGGACATAGGTCTGTTAGAAATTCGATTGGAACAGAGTTGTGTGTGTGTGTTTAACTGTTAATCTGGTCTCATAAACCAAATATCTATTTATGGGTAGCAACATGCAGCTGTTGGGCTGATATTTTGAACCTGTTCTGTATGGTAATAAATGATGGTGTAAAATCCGGGGCGGGATGGGTGTGTATGTTTGGGGGGTTTTATTAGTATTCCTTTCTGGTGTGTAAGCTTTGGGTTTTTATTATTAGTGTTTCTTTCTATTACTGCTGCAGTTGTTGGCTTTGGTCTGACAGGAGATGTCCCATGTTGTGCCACTGTTATCCTAGTGCAGAGCAGAACAAAAGGCCCTGCTCCAAAAGCTGGCAATCAGAGAACATTCACAGTTGAGAATATAAGGCCTGGGAAATTTAATGAGGAAAAGAATTCTAGATATACTGGGGTAATTTCTTTCCCTTGCAGCCTTCTGTGGAGTTTGATGCATGGAGTTTCAGAGAACACAGGTCATCATTTATAAAATATAGTAGCTTCCATGTAAAGCCCTAAGTGGCACTGCTCATGGTGTGTTGAAGGTGTCACAGTTTTCCAGTGATGTAACTGGGATCTTCACTGGTCCCATCACCTGAGAGACAGAACTTTGATGTGCTCTTCCAGCTCAGTGCTGGTGTGTGATGCAGCTGCTGGGTGCTGTGAACCTTTTGGTTTTCATTTTTTTTTTTAAAACTGTCATTTCTCATCTATTCTTTCATCCCATAGACACTCGTGTGTGTATCTATATGTACTTATTTATATTTATTTAATTTTGTGTATATATATTTAAGTATGCATAAATACTTACTCTTGAATGCCAGCTCCCCAAAATCATATAGTTGCTCTGTAGCCCTCTGAAGCATACATGAAGACAAACACAGATAAGGCTGAACAGACCAAAGAAATTGGAAATGTCTCAGGAGAATAAATATGTACTATTTGGCTTACCCTTTTTTTACTTTAGTGTTCTGGGCACCAGGGAGAAATGATCTTATTTTAGAAATTGTTTGAAAGTGGCAAGAACAAAGGAATCACTGGAAGAGACTGCTTTGTGCAGGGCAGGCAACGTGGGGAACGTCAAGCAGAATGAAATAAGCAGGAGAATGAAATAAGCAGGCCAGCGTGCTTTGAAGGCTGGCGCCAGCGACGAGGGGCAGGGGCTGAGATGAGGCGAGGCTGTCTCAGGTGACTCTGCTGCACGTTCCTTCTTTTTCTTACATAAGAGGGATGTCCGGGAGGAATGGCGAGCCCCTGAATGATTGCAATTAGTCTTGAGTGTTGCCTAGGGCTCTTTAATGTCACAGATTAAAAAAGAGGACTTTGGTTGTAGAAAATAATGTGCCTTGCCCTTCTGGTATTCTGAGATCAAGCAAGTTGTGAGTTACTTAAGGATGCCTGCCTGAAATATGCTTAACCCCAATTTAATAGCTGCCTTAGGCTTTCTTTAGACTGGGAAAATATTAATTATTATTTTGAATTACTCTTTTCTAATGCTGTACTTGTTGGGCAGCTCTTGTTTGGGAAGAGACTACCCGAGCACGAGGCTCTGTGGCGGGAGAGCAGGAGTGAAGCACTCGTGGCGTGGAAGGCACCAGCATCCATTTCTGTGGCCTCTAGCTGACGCACACTCCCTGTGCTATGATGACTATTATGATGGTCAACTGCAGCTTTCACATAACACAGAAAACCAAATACAATTTAAAGTGAAAGGACAATCAGCCAACTTCCCCACCAGAGTGAAGACAAGCAATCAACTTGATTGTTTAAAACTGCAGGTGTTTGTCATTGGAATCGTCCAGCTGAGTTGTAGGATGGAGAGTTTCATGCAGGATTGAAATCTCACTTGGGCAGGTTACAGAAGTGGCTTGGATTATGAGAGGATTTTCAAGGCAGTCTATGGGAGCTAAGCAACCTGCTCTTGGTGGCTCTAACAGAAATCTGGGAAGCCGGTTCCCATAGTCCTTCTGGGAATCTCCAGCCCAAGGACACCAGCTCACACTGCTGTTACTCCAGAGTTGCCATGAAGTCGACCAAGAGCAGGACGTAGGTCTTGAAAGAGAGAGGCAGAAGTTAGGATAAATCAAATGAAATGCAGTAACAGGCACGCTCTGAATTGGTGAAACTCAGCCTCCTGATCACTCCGGGTTCATCTGAGATCCCAAAGACCTGCCATGTCTTCTGACCTGCCATTTTGCTTATAAAATCCACCTGAAACTCCCCCAGTAAGTGAGCAGTGTTTTGGCCAAATATGGCTGGAATCTTATGTAGTTTTGGTGAGTTCATAGTGAGATTCCCTCTAGCAGCGCTCTTAGTAAGGAATCAGGTACCCGTGTCCTTGAAGGACTAAGCTCTTGCAGGCAGCTGTCTCTGCTGGATACCAATAAATGTTGTATTGATCTTACAATCCTCACGTGGAATGTAGAAGGTGCTTAACAGCTGCAGCCTCCTGTGTGCGATTGCTCCCTTGCTCTGTGGCGTGCCATGGGTTGAAGGTCAGACTCAAATTTTTCTGTAATCTCCCCCAGTTCCAAATCTTGCAATGCAGCTCCTTACCCAAAGCACCAAATATATGTGAGTGTTTAAAAGCTAAGTGGAAGGAAGCTTGTATGTATGGTTATTTTTCATGTCTCTTTAAATATTGATAACTTCTATTACGGGAAAAAGCCTTAAGATTGACTTACAAAGAAGTTATGCAAATGCAGTTTTAGGGTGGCAGCTGTAATTTGCATAAGGCTTTACTACCTGCCGAGCGCTGAGATCAATTACTATAAATCCATGCTGCCTATTCATTCAGAAATAAGAATAGAAATTGCTGCAGTATTTCACTAGATGAGACACTTTTTATTCCTACATAACTATAACTTTTTCAGGACCTTTGTGATAACCTGAAGAGTTTAAATAATTCCTGTTTAACAACTTGGAGTATAACTCCATGCTTTATTCTTGAGGTAGTCAGTGAGAAATTTCACCTGTTCAGTGCATTACACCCAAATATCTCCAGTACTTTTCCATCTTTGAAAGGTCCCACTATGCAGACAGGGTTGCTGAAGTACCGAACAGTTGAGAGAAATACCCTAAATCTCACCCCTCACATTGAATATCAGATAAAGGTCTTCGACTGCTCTTCCTGTGCCTTAATATGTAGACAGCATTTCAGACTCTGAAGAGCTGAGTGGAGATAGCCAGCAGCAGATTAGGAAATACAGTTAAGTCTTCTCAGGCTGCATCATAGCTCCAGCTCTTTGTATTATGGATTCTGGTTATATTTTTGTTGCCCTTTAAAATTAAATAATTGTAAGAAGTGCCAGTGAGTCTGCATTTCTATATTCATCTGTGCACACACATGCATGAATCTGTCTTCCCTAGGCAGGGTTTATGCTATTCCTTCACACAAACAGTGGTCTCCTTCCACTCGCTGACAAGCTCTTTTGCTTTAGGAAAACTGAATACAGGCAGTAATTTGTTTCTTTCAAGGCTGTGCCTTGGCACTTTTTCTTTCCTTCCTCCAAGTCTGTCACTTGCTTCCTATCTGAGCACAGCAGCACTTTCCTCTTCCACCCTCGCCTTGCTTCTAGCCCTGGCTGTGATGAGAGATGGGCACCTAGAATCATAGAATCATTTAGATTGGAAAAGACGTTTAAGATCATCAAGTCCAATCATTATTTTAACCCTGCCATCCCACCACTAAAGCCTGTCACTAAGTTCCTCATCTGCCCGGCTTTTAAATACCTCCAAGGATGGGGACTTGACCCCTTCCCTGGGCAGCCCCTTCCAATGCTTGACAACCCTGGTGGGGAAGAATTTTTTCCTAATGTCCAATCTAAACCTGCCCTGGCACAACTTGAGGCCGTTTCCCCTCATCCCATCACCCGTTACCTGGGAGAAGAGACCAACACCCACCTCACTCCCCTCTCCTTTCAGGTAGTTGTAGAGGGCGATAAGGTCTCCCCTCAGCCTCATTTTGTCCAGGCTTTGCTCTCTCTACATGTGCCAGGGAAATTGCTGTTGCAGGCACACACTGTCCTTAATGCTCTGGTGCTGTTGGCTCTCCTGTTGGCTTCCTGCTTTATTAAATTCTTCCGCATGTCCCCTGTGCAACCATCCATCAGGTCTAGGGATTGAAACCTGTCTGTATCTGCCCATTGGCTGGCAACATCAATGTGTGAGGATGGTTGTTTAAAGTGCCAGAGATCAGCTCTCCTCCACCAGCACCTTTTGATGGGCTAAAAGCTACTCCCGGTACTCCACTGGTGGTGGTACCGACCCCTCCTGACCTTCTTGGCTGTTGCATCTTCAGTTGTACCTGGGGGACACAACCTAACCTCCAGCCAAGCAGTGTCCGGACAGTATGGCACGGTCTGGCAACCAGGCTGTGTGAGAGGGGGGACCCCCATCACTCATCTGTGCACTGAGGGATCCTGCAAAAGCTTGCCCCATCTGCCCATCTCTGGTTCTGCAAACAGCAGCGTTACCTGTGTCGCTGGGGCCCTGGTGGCCTCCTCTTGGCAGACCTCGCGACCGAATGCCATCAGCTTGTGGTGCCCAGGCATGCTGGCTCGCTTGGCAGCAGAGATAGGGAGCGTCTGAACAGGCATCTTCTCTTTGAACAGTCTCCTTTCAAAAAAGGCGTCTGAGCATGAGTGACCTTGTAATTAATTGTAAGCAAATCTGAGCTGTT